TTTCCCTATCCCCCAACTTTCCTTTCTGGCCTATGTCCTAGCCCAGCCTCCCTGAGGGTTCTTTGTCTTAGAAGAACACTGAAGACACATCAGAGGTAGTCCTGTCCACCCCTTCCCCTGAGAATCTAAGGGTATCAGTTCTTCTGACTGTACACTCAGGGCTTTTATCTTACTACATCTAAGGGGCAGAGGATGGAGGAAAGGGAAAAATGACATTCAGCTGCTCATCTCAGGAGGCTCCAGCTGCTCAGTCCTTCAGCTGGGCCTTGATTCTGGTGGGGGCCTCAGGTAAGGCAGTTAAGGGAGAAGGAAAGAGGCCCTTCTTGACCTAATCCAACCTCATAGGCTGGAGGTACCCCACACCATCCTCTCACCCTGCGACGAGCCCCTCCCAAGCACTCCAGGAGGCTCTCCCCACGGACTTAGGAGCTGAGCTGCTGGTACATCCGAGGTCCGGAGGAGGCCTGGCTTGGTTTGATGGGACTGGGGGTAGGGAGAAGGCTCACCTGACATGCTGGTTTTCAGGGAACATTGGCCGTTCTTTCTTTTTCGCTTTCCATCTGGTGACCTGGCACTAGATGGGGGGAAAGGGGACAGAATCACAGAGCAGTCTTTGGGCAGCGCTCTTCTTGATCTAGGAGGTGTATACAATCTCCCAGCCTGACTCCCCCCAGCTTGCGTCCTCATTCTAGCTCCCACCCCCAGGTCAGCTGACAGAGCTTAGAAGGGTCCAGCTATCAGAAAGCTGCAGGAGAGTGAGATAAGGGGTTTGCCCGGGGCACGAGCATAGTCGAAGGCACAAGCATATTCAAAGTCCCCAACACACACACACAAAGGCACGTTGCAGACCTTAGGCACCCACAATCCACAGGACAGCCATATATTTAAGCCTTTAGTAGATGACAAATATGCTGAATGAATCTTCAAGATATGCCTAAAGCTAGGGAGCCTTTAGAACACACACATACATACACAATGTAACACTAGTGCATATAAATAACTATGTAGCCTTCTGTATAAACCCAGATATGGTATATAAACACCGGGATCTCCGTATCTATGCAACTTTCAGGGCATTCGCAAATGTGTTCTGTGACCTCTAGAATTCGCCCATGCACCACACAACCCTCTGGAAAGACACCTGACCATAACACCTCTTCTATTCCCAGGGCGAACATGTTGAGTTCCAGGTCACATGCACACACTAAATAACCAATGGTGATTGAAAACACCAGTCACCCTGTTCGCGGGCTCCATTCAGCGGAGCAGCAAATTGTGGACCCATTGCAGGTGCCTGGTGACTCCATGCACTGAAGTCAGAGCCAGGACAAGGACTCTGAGTCCCTCCATGCAAGGTATTATTAGCAGCTCTCTGCCAATGCACATATATGTTGCCAGACTCTGCACATACATGTTACATAACCTTGGTGCACACGGCTTACATAAGCTCTCCACATGCATGCAGGATTGTATAACCTCCCACACCCACCCTGCATGTGGCATGTTGCAGGGCCCCTCCTCCTGCAGCTGGATGCAGCTCCCAACACACTGACACAGTGACCTTGGCCAGGGTCACAGTAACAGACAGTCCCGTGCTCCATGCCCCCTGGGGAATACCCCCGTCTGGTTCCTACAAGGTTCCTGGAGGGTTAGGTCTCCCTCCTGCCTTCCACAAGGGTGGGTGAAGGGGAGGCCCCAGCAGAGCTGGCATCTCCTGCAATTGTCAGACTCACAGCCTCTGGGTACAGTCCCAGGGACAGCCACAAGGTGGCGCAGGGATGTGGGGGAGGGGAGGACACTGAGGCGGGGCCGCAGTCCTTAGGAGACTGGGACCTGGCATTCCCACCTTTCTTCAAGTCTTAGCGGCAGACTCTCTCAGACCCATGGAAGGGTAGGCAGGAAGGCCCAGAGACTGCAAGTGACAGCAAACGACTAGCCTGCCCTTCTGAGTCCCTCCTGGGATGAGCCTGGGGAGAGAAGTTACCCTAGTGCCCTACCTAACTTAAAGCTCCATCTACCTCTTCCACCCCTCCAGAGATGCCAGTCTGGGGCCCCAAGGCTCTGCCTGGCCAGGCCTCTGGCCTCCTGGCTCAGGATCTGATCTCCTAGGCAACAGCCAGCCACACTGCTCCCCAGAGCACCCCAACCCCCACCCTTTCCCTGGCCATAGGCACAGGCTGTACCCAGCTCCCAGAGCACCACGCCAACTGGGACAGAGCTCTGTGCCAATTGGAGCCGATGGGAGAGGCAGAGACCCTCTGGGCTCCTCAAGGACAATGCAGATCGTAACCCATCCCTAGTTGTATGTGCAAGGCTGATGCCTCACCCACGTGTAGGCAAAACCTTCATGGTTGGCATGCACTTCCACTTCCTGGGAGGAGCCCTACGGCAGTGCCCGCCTTGCCTATGAACAAGGAAGAGCTTGTGGGGCTCCCAGTAGATTCCAAACATAAGCTGGGCTATGACCGATAGCAGCTGATGCATGTGCCCTGAAATGTCATGTGTGCACATGGCTTGTGGACAACGCACTTGTGGTCAGTTGGTGAATAGGCTAGTAGGGAAGGAAGAAAATGGCAAGGCCGTTTGGATCCTACGTACTCAGTGAGGGCAGCAATGGCAGAGGGGTCACCAGGGGCATCTGCAACTGCCCAGCCCTGTTAAGGGAGAGCCACGTGCCTGCTGCATGTAATTACTCTGCTCCGTATCACTCCGCCCTTCAAAACACACGTCTCTCAATCCAAGTGCCTAATTCCTTGCCACATCTGAACATGACCTCGTCCTCTGGACAAAGGTAGGCGGCAGGCTTGCTGGCCGGAGGCCCATCCCTCCGAGGTACTTAAAAGGCAGTGCCTCGAGAGCTCAGCCCGTGCTAGTGCAGCCAGGTGACCACGCTTGCCGCCTGGGAGCTGGCACCACCCAGTTGCCGGACCCGTTACCTGTTCTCCTCTGGGTCTGACCCACACTCCACCTTGCTTGGCTTCTGTTCCATTCACTTCAATTCCATCCAGGATGCCCTCCAGCACGCCAAGAGACTGGGGTGGGCACACTGCCCCCCCCAACACGCCCACAGGCCACCCACCCCCGGCCACCCAGGCCCTAGGGCACAGCACCCATGGTACCCGCCTCAGTACTCGGCCTTTCACACCATGCCCTGCGCCCCAGGGGGGGGCGGGCGGTGAGAGGGGCCAGGGAGTGGCAGGTGGGAGGGCTGGGGGCAAGCTGGGCCTGTGGGGAGTCCTGGGCAGGGGCAGGGAAGTAGCTTCAGAGTCTTGTCCTGTCCAGAGATCCCTGCGAAGAGAAGAGAAAGGCAAGAGTAAGAAGGTACCAGGGTGGGACCAGCAGATGGCATCATGGTTACGTCACTGGACTCCCACATGGCCGACCACAGTTTGAGTCCTACTCAAACTCATGCAGGTGCGTGTGCGTGTGTGTCCAAAATCTTGAGAGAGAGAAAAAAAAAGTTGCATGGTATGGAGTGGATAGGAGTCTTCTGTGGAAATATTTGGGGTTTTTGGGGTCCGTAACATGGCAGTGGGTAGGGAGGGTGCAGGGCACAGGGTGAGGACCAGGGTAATTCCTAAATCACAGATACAGCAGGCAAGATCGGGGATTCACAGCCTACGTCTTAGACACAGGGAGGGCCAGAGGGAAGGAATGAGGTCATCCGTGTACCACGTAATACGGTTCAGTCCTCACATTCAGACAAAAGCCTGACCCTTACACGTGTCTACCAAACACTGGCTGTTGCCACCACCCCTCGAGCCGAGTGTTCCTAAAATTCATCAGTATGTTAGGAGGTTCAGAGCTGCAGCTTTCGGCACAGGCTTGGGGGTACCCGTGAAGAAGGATGTGCAGCAGTTGGGAGCACCCATGCCCATCCTAGTGCCTTTATAGAGAGACATGGGGAGAAATGGGGAGAAATGGGGAGCTGACCTCCTGGCTGCCAGTCCTATCCCCGCCCCTTGGTGATTCCAGGGTTACCCACCCAAAGCCCCAAAGCCCATTTCCCAGGCTGGATGACTAGACTCCATTGGTTTAGCCAAATTGCCACCCCATCCCATCCCCAGGATGTCAAAGGGCAAGGGAAAGGAAACTGACATGAGTTAACTGAATAGATAACACGTACCCTCTGAAGTAGGCGTCCGAACTAGACAAGGAAACTAAGTCTCAGAAAGCTTAATTATTCACTCAAGTTCATGCAGCTAGTAAACAGGTGGCAGAAGGATTAAAACCTCCCAGCCTGGTTCTAATGTGAGGGCAATGCCAACCTCAGCCCACCATTCCCTCCACAACGCACCTCCGACCCTGCTGCAGACCTGAGGCTCACCGTCGGTGTGCACACAGGCAGGTGTGGGCATGTGGGAGGGGGACAAAGGGTGCAGCTCCTCACACACAACCTCCATCTAGAGACCTCACCCCTAGGCCCCCTGGCCCCACCCCCAAGAACTGATAAGGAGGGGGGGAGGTGAAGGGAGAGATAAGTCAGGGCATTGGGCAGGGCCTCTGCATCCTGACGAGTCCCCGCCCCCATGTGGGGAGCACGGGAAAGTGGCCCATTCTTCCTCTGACACCCCGCAGACCAGGACGGGGCACTGGGGGCTGAATGGGAGACTGGAGTGGGGGCGTGAGTGGGGAGCCTTAGCCCAGGGAGCCGTCAAGAAAGTAGGTCAAGTTTTTCTTGGCTTGTGGAGAAATTCCTGTTATAAATTTATAATGGCGTAGCCAGCCCCAAGGGGGGGAGGGGGGG